AACCGAGATATAAACCACTATCGTATTACATAAAGATAATCTTTTGCCTGGTTTGATCTAATCTGTCAGCAGCAACCTCAAGCGAAGCCTTCCGAGTCTATCCTGTATGAATAAGAGACCGTACAATTTAAACTGTTTAATTTTTATCATACAAACGTCTCAGGAAGCTAGAAGCACAAGTGAGACACCATTAACGCCTCTTGTATTAAAAGGCGTTTCTAAATGCTGGCGTTGTTAAAGGTACTGCTCCTTCTCACTTAAGCTACAATGCTCTTTTTTGTTGCAACTTTTACTTTTAACCTTAGGGCACTTATTGAGAGAAAATGTTAACAAAAAGCACTAATAACAAATTGTATCTCTTTTTCCCAGGTAAATAGGCTCAGGTACCTAGTTTCAAGACTACTGTTTAACTTAAAATAAAATTGCTAACTAGGCATGAAAATAATTTTGCTTCGGTTGTTGAACTTTTGGCAGTAGATTACTGTTATCGTTTGTGGTTTTTATCGCTTGATAACTAAGCACAGTTTCGACCAAGTTTCTCAACGAATCAGAAGTAGACGTTCAACGTTTCGATTTGGTAAAAGGGCCGTGCGTACTGAGGTCGTCTCATTGTTTTGGCCGTGAATAATCATGAACGGTGTGTCGCCCATTCCTATGGAAGGTAGATTGATTCGTCCCTAGATTCAAAATGTGTCAAGTTTGTGGGCTTGCTGTTGAAGTGTTTTCAAGTTTCTTTAAGGTTCCAAGGTGACAACAATTGTTTTTTTGTTTCATTAGCACATTATGGCGTTTCTTCTGCTGGTTTGATGCCACTTTTTTGGTTTTTTTTATGGAATATGTTGCGGTCCAAGGTGATTTCCCGCTAACACTCGCTTACCAATATATTTTGTCTTACTATTTTTGTGTCGTGGTTTCCTGGATGGATTATAAAATAATTTGTTTATTTTGAGAGCATCAAAATCTTCTTGAAACGAATACCCTGATTTTATGTGTCTTCTCTTGGGATGATGTTTAAATGCGTTTGCTCTTTGAAGAAGACATGCCGAAAACGGATCTCATGTGGAAATACGATGACATCAAGCTTAACTGCATTGACCCTAGTATAGAAGGTAAGTCTCTGTAGTGCTTCTCGAGAATTTAGGTGAGTATATGTCCTGTGTACAATTTGACGGTGGTGGAAATTTTCTGGCCGTTGGCGACAGAGGCGGAAAAATCAACGTGTTTAGGACAACTACTCAGGTGCTTTCTTTGAATTTCGATATTCCATTTATCTATCGTAAAATAATGCCCCATGCTACCACCCATGTTTTCTAGCTGAACGCCTTTACAGAGTCTGTATACACTGGTCTATTTTAAGTTTCTTTCCATCCATTATTCTAATCTGTTTCCCCGTTGGTTGCATCCCATTATATTTAAAGCTGATCCGTTTTACAAGTTAAATAAGTGTGTATGCTTGTGTCCCCATCAGTTTGTTTGTTCTTGCATCCTAGGCCAGAATGTATATTATGTGGTCTAAACTGTGCCATAAATAAGGCTTTTTCTTTTAGTATCTGTTTAATTTTAAGGCCCAAATATACGAAACTCCTCGTTACGAGCTCTACTGCAGTTTTACAAGCCACGAATCAGAATTTGATTATCTTAAGTCTCTTGAAATCGAAGAAAAGATCAATAAGATCCGTTGGTTGCCCCAGCAAAACTCGTCAAGACACTTACTTTCCACAAACGGTAAGTTAGTGTCTACATTTTCGCTTACATTTTCTCTGTTTAACTTGGCTCTGCCAGATAACTCTCTGATTATTTTGATTCATTAAAGTAATTGGCACAGGCTGTCCCATTTGCTCTTCGGTCCCAGTTTTTAAAACCGTGTCTTCTATTAATATGATAAAGAGCAGTTGCTCGCTCACGACTTCAATTACGGCTCCTAACCCACATTCGGTTTGCGTATGCTTTTCAGCGTATCCATATATTAGTTTAGTTAGCATTTACGCCAATTTTGCTTTGCGCTTCAGGGGCTGCATTTATTCGGGTCTTGATACCACAGTTGCTACCGTTTGCTATCTTACTATTTCGACAGTAGCATTATTCTTGTATTGGTTACACCTCGAGGTTCCCATCCCTTCAATATTTGTGGTAGTTCACTGTTAATGTTTTATTTTGTACCAATATTTCGCCTATTAGATACGGAAAATAAGCTCTGCATTATTCCTCAGAATGCATGTTATTGTGCTTTTATGGGACGTTCTTTTGGCAGTATTCTGATTTATTTTTCATGTTTTCTCTCTAAAGATGCTTTACTTTAATTGCTTCACCTTGGGATCTCTTATTCATAATCGAAGGTTCATTGCTACTCCATTTGCGATTGATTTGCGTATCTAGGTCGTGCCGATCTTTATTTATTTTTCAAGTTTATTAAAAACTTGATAGTGACTGCTTATTTTTTTCCGCTCAGTTACTTCATGATGAACCGTTTGAATTCCAATCCATTCCAACTAGATACAATGATTTCTTTAATCTTATCTGTGCTGGTCGGCAGTTGGCTTTGAATGTGTTCATTAATTTATAAATGTACTTAAACGATGAAAACGCTATAATTTCCCAATCCGTATTGTAAATTATATCTGTTAACTGTACTTTTCGTTATCTCTTTCCTTAACACGTTCATTTTCACAGCTATAATATAAATTGGTGGACAGGTAGGCACATAAGAAATAGTACGACTTCGCGATCGGTATTGTCTCTGTCTTCTATTTGACGAAGTTCTAGTTGCGTATTTCATTAGCGCGCTCATTTGCATCACTAGACTGCAAATCACAGAACAGTTATGCATAAAAGTAGCTTCAATTGAGTTGAAGCTTCCTTATCAGCGTCCCTTTTCCTGTATGCGCGTATGCAGATAAGACTATCAAGTTGTGGCGACTTTCGGAGCGCCCAAAGCAGGCGACAGGATACAACATACGGCGGTCGGCGGCTCGTACTCCCTCAGAAGTCGGTTTTGGCGAGGCAGAGGATAGGGAAGAGGTAAAGGGAGAAATTGGAGGCGGCACACCGAGAAAAGGTCTCAATGGAGGTACTAGTGCCAAGGTACACAACGCTGGCGATCTCCGAGTGCCGCGATATGAACGCCGCACGGACCTCTTTGTCGCTGCCCAGCCTCGACGTATCTTCGCCAACGCACATGCCTATCACATCAACTCCATCTCCGTTAACTCCGACCAAGAGACCTTCCTCTCCGCTGACGACCTACGCATTAACTTATGGAACCTCAGCGTTACCAACCAGTCTTTCAGTAAGCCCACGACGTTATTCATATCAAAATGCTATTACTACCAGGATTAATTTTATTACATACAACATTGAAATTCATTTGTAAAAATTATTGCACGCATCTCCAAGGTGCTTATCAGTAAAGCCAGTGTCCGCATGTTTTTAGTTCCCAGAATCTCTGCTTGTTTTGAAATAACTTGAAACCTCTTGTGAATTTAACTTTATTGAAACATTCGACCAAAGGCTAAACCCAGTGGAAGACGGTAACGGAAGAAGTGGGAAAACAAAGTGGTCCGATTGATTAAAAAGGGTGTTTCAGGCTGGATGTTTGGAAACATCAGTTATTGCTGTCTCTGAAGTTTACAAGTGACTTTTACAATAATCTGAATTTGAAATAAAGGAACGACTCCGTCAATACAAAACCTTTTATGTACGCAAATACTCATGGAATAAATACTAATGGGTTCACTTTGTAAGTACTCAATTTTAGTTGAAACATTCTTTTGCTTTTTGATCTCGGTAATGAAGTTGGATGTTTGAAGCCATTTTAAGGCGCGTTTTGAAGAACGAAATATGTTTTTAAGTTTGCACTATACCTGGACAGTATTAGTTTAAAAGAAATTTGCCTAATTTTTTAATCATATTTAAGTTTGTTGATTTCTGCATTACTACCCTCACTCCAGTGCGGCCTACAGAAATTTGGTCGCTAACTTGGTCAAAAAGTTTCTTTAACCTGTTTTTTTCCCAAAATTAATCTGTGGTTTTAGAAATTAATGGTTTTTTATTTTTAAAAGATATTTCTTTTTCCTTTGTGCAGCTATAGTTGACATAAAGCCGGCGAACATGGAGGAGTTGAGTGAGGTGATCACGGCGGCCGAATTCCATCCGACTAGTTGTTCCCTTTTCATGTACAGTAGCAGCAAAGGGGTCCTTCGGCTTTGTGACATGCGGCAGCAGGCCCTTTGTGACAGGTCTGCTCTCAGTGAGTTATGTCGTCACCTTGATCCTTTTTTCTCATTCCTAGTCGACTGACTGTGGGTGTTTTATCATTTAAACCTGTGTTTTAAATCTGGTCAAGAGTATGAAATCCAAAATCGGAAGATTTTGTCTTTGTACCTCAAAACTTATCAATATGCTATTACATTTCGACATTATAGATAGTATTAACATTTTATGTGCAGGATATCACTGTGCACTATGCAAACTTGGTGCTCTGATTTCTTCATAGTATCTTGCTTTCCATATCACGCGCAACTTACCGTGGTTACTCATGTCAATCTCTGCATGGTCGTTTTTTATCTAATTCGATGTTTGTACCCTAAAATTTCTCTAGCATTTCAAGAAGCGGATATTCCTGAAAATCGTGGTTTCTTCTCCGAAATCGTGAACAGTGTCACAGACTTGAAATTTAGCAATTCTAGTCGTTATGTCCTCAGCAGGGACTATTTAACCCTCAAAGGTGAATATTTTTATCATGAATGCCATTGTTAACGTTTAAGTGCGTTTTTCCGTTGGGTTTATGTGCAGTTGCAACTATCTCAACAACTTGTTACAAATTTTAGAACTAAACTGGGACTTTTCTTGCTCAAGGTGTAGCTTCTATTATTTTTCATGTTCTGTCAGCTTAGACAGTGCATTTGGAGCTGCATGCCTCTTTGACTCTTTTGCATTCTGTCACAAAATACATCCTCAAGGAGCAGTTTTTGTTTACTCAAACGTTTGTGGTGTCATCTCTTTGAAAATTTCAGTGTGGGACATGAACATGGCGACCGGGCCGGTGGAGGTTTACCACGTGCATGATCATTTCAGGAGCAAATTTGTTGCTCTCTACGAAAACGACTGCATCTTTGATAAATTCGAATGTGCCTGGTCTCCGGATAATAAGTATGTTAATCTTGAGCACTAGCAATTCTATTTACCATCATGTCTCGCATAGGATCCAAACTAACGCTGATGTTTCTGTAATTTATTATAGATTCGCCGATTTTCACCTTTGAAGTTGAGGTTTTGAAAATGTGCCATCTGAACTGCACGCGTCTTTTTAATCGACTTATACAAACTAAAGCCATTGTATTCGTTTGTAGGCAAATGTTCCTGTCGTAAGTAGTACTATTTACACCTAAGATTTCTGGAATTTGATGCTGGTTAAACAGAGAGTGCGTATTAAGTTCTGCTTCATGATGGAATCACGGCTGCCTTCCTTGGCAGTGATAATACCTTATGAGATCTACATCATAGTGTATTATTTAATGCCTCAAATCGTCTGCGCTTACTGGTCTAAAAGACTATTACGATTTCGAACATTACTAACTGTGCCAGTTTGACACCACTAATTTTTCTTGAATGTTTTTGTGCTTGACAGGAGGTTTGCAAATCGTTCTTAGCTTCGTTACAATTAATGAAATGTGGGGCTAAACTTTTGATGTTTGAACGGCTTATCAAGCAGGTATTAACTAGAAGATGAGGTAAATTCACAAAATTGCCGAATTTAGTAAGACTTACTAGATTACTTCTCGCCCTGTTTGGTACAGCATTCTTCGTATTAATTTCATTCGGCTAACCCAAAATTTAGCTGGTAATTGTTTCACGGTGCTTGCGTGAAGTTATTTGTGGATAATAATCGTGTCACTGCATATAAAACTGGTAAAACTGAATAGTGGTTCTGTTAAAAGCGCCTTAATTGGTAAGTATTTGGCTTTTGATGGATGATCATCTCTACTAATGTTTGAGGTCGCAGTGTAGTGTCTTGGGACGATTATTGTTGTATTAGCCGCTTTACTTCATTAATGTGTATCACAGATGTCTGCCAATTAAACTGTGTAAAGATATGGTTCGAATGTTTTACATCATTTATGTGAACATTACTGAATTTTTCTGGACATAATATGCCCGCTTTTGATGCTCTTCTCATTCGGCAAACGTGACTACACATGCCTCTTTCATCGAATATGAGGCAGCTTAGTTGTGTTCTCCTTTTTCCGGCTATTGATTGCTATTTTCTTTTGAAAATAAACGGAATAAATCTATAGGCTTTTGTCCGTTTTGAAGGCACCTTGAATGTACCGCTTTCTATTACTTCAACTCTTAGCGTCATTAAAACAAGGGGCACACATAAATACCACTTATCATTTAGTGAATTTCTGCATTACTTTACACATTAATTGTAATAATTAGCTTGATTAACTTTGCTATTCCATTTCAGCTACCTCCTGACAGGATCCTACAATAACCTTTTCCGGGTGTTTGATCGATCATCAGGCAGGGGCGTTTTGACGGAGGCAGAAGCAAATGCAAATGGGGGCCCCTCAAGTGTTCCAAAGGGATCTCTGCGCACTCGAGAAGTCACCTGTGACCCCGTGGCGATCACCTCCGACCAGATCAGCGTCGACTCGATCGACTTCACCAAGAAACTGCTTCACCTGGCCTGGCATCCCAGTATGCCCCGTGTGGCGTTGGCCAGCAATGAAACTCTCTTTCTGGTCTCTACACAACAAGAACAGCAGCATCAGCAGTCTGACTCGAGTTGAGACATTAGCACATGAAAGGCACATATTTTGTTTATCGAGATTCGTCCATTTGTACACTAGTGGTCCCTTTCCTTCCCCTTCTATCCTCTGCCTCTTTTCCACACTTTGGCTCTGCGTATATGCATGTGCTTGGACATTCCATTTTCGCGGTTGCCGTCTTGCTCAAATGCCTTTGTGGAAATTCTGCGGTCCTCTTACTTCGCCCTCCTCCCTCCCGCCCCATTCTTTATATACACGCATGGTTTTACGTACTACCGTAATACGTACCTCAAGTAAAGACGTTGGTACAAAGACATCGTTACTTTTGTGCATTAGGGAGATTCGAAATCATTCTGTCAACGCTTTTGCTACCGGCGTTACGCACATGTTACGTTTTCTTAATCAACTTTTGATGACTGGTCGCAAACGGCTTGGTTGAATTTAAGACATTTAAAGATGAAGTGGTGTGTCCTCGACGTAGGAATACATATTTTTTCGGTTTTTTTGAACAGGATAACTGAGCTGTGCGTTCTGTCTGTGGCTGTCGATTTTACTCAAAGATTTTGGTTGTGGGCTTGCGAGCAACATTTATGTATAACTTTTGGGTTTGCCATTGTGATTTGCCGGCTGGGGTCCATTCTCCCACCGTTTGTTCCTCAAATTGATATGTTTGTAAGGTGTATTTTGTAATCGATGTCACCCGTTAGTAAAAGATCTCTCAAAAGGAGGTATATTTTAAGATATCAGCCCGTCAAATGACCAAATGGACGTCCCCTTAGGCGAGAATTTTTATGGCTCCACTATTGGTCTTTGTTTTGATGTTTGTTTTTATATGACAAACTGGTCAAAATTGCTTTCCGAAACTTCGTGGCGTAATTTCATTTGCCCGTCAAATGAAACATGAATGACGCCTATGAACTGCAAGAGGAGTCGCTTTTACAGTCCTGATTGTCTAAAGGTTTTATGCATCATGGATCAAGAGCTAGGGCAAGCATACTGGGATAAAATGCTTCTATCCGGGTAGTCATTAAATCGTTTCACTTTCGGTGGTTCCAGTAGGCATGGGTAAAGATATCTTCACTACTTTGTAGATATCGATGCTTACGCACGTGTGTAAGAGGTACAACCATCGTCTGCTAACACAAAACTAAAACCGCCATAATTAGGCGGCCAGCTGTAGCGCCCCCAGACTCCACTAGGGACGAAAAAGAATTCTCGGGCGGAATATGTATATTCGACATGCAGTAGGGCTTGAGGCTACTGGCATAGCCCTAGGGCCGGCTTGCTCAGCCGTACAATAGCAGAGATTTAAATTGGCTCCTTTACCAAAGCCGAGATTTAAATAAATAACCATCCGCCCTGGAAATCCCTTTGGTCCAACTCCGAGTCAACCATTACAACGCAATCGGTGCTGTAAAAAACACCTACGAGCCAGTTGTGCTAGACATCGAATATGCGTGTAAATCAGGGGCTATTTAACTGCAATATTACTGATTCCTCATGGCAATTCTACTGCATCTGCAGTTTCCTTCTGCATGGAAACTGGGCTCGGGGAAGTGGGAATGTGTCGATCATCATGCGTGTCCATAGCTAGTCCTAGCAACCGACCTAAAAGCAAGGTCATGTAACAATGGATGGGTTTTAACATAGTTACGTGAAAATAGGGTTTCGCTTCCCCTCCTTCCTCGCCACAGAGGAGCTGCCTAGCCATATTTATTTGGGTTCTACCCAGATAGTAGAGAAGGGGAAGAGGTGTCGCATAACTTTTCCGAATAGTTCACGGCTGGCATCGTTCCGATTGCTAATAGCTTTTCTCCAGACCAAGGAACTAAGGCAGTTGTCAAAGGTGAACGTCATTTTCACCCCTTCTGTTGGGAGTTATCACTTCTCCTGCCCCAACGGTAGAAATTAGGATAGGTGGCCTCTAAGACCAGGTTCCCTAGCCACTGCCACAAATGTAATGCTTAAGACTTCCCTGAAAAACAAAAAATGATAATATAAGGGAAGAATAAATATAGTCCATTCACAAAAGGGATCCTGGCTACCGGCATGGGCCGATCAACCCAAACGGTGGGGGTATAATTGCGGCCACTTCACAAAAACTGAGAGTTAAACATCCAACGTGTTACAAATATATCCCACGTTAGATTTTGCAATTACTTAGCAAAATTGCTCACATTCCTCCACCTTTTTTACTGCTTCAGCACTTATTTTAAGTGGGGTCAAAGACACTAAGGGATGTTAGAAGAGACAAGTTGAAGCACTTGATAACTAGCAATGACAACTTTTATTGCTGAGCTAGGATTTCTTTGTGGTAGTCACAAATGTAATTTCACATTTCCGTCTTTTAAATCTGACCATAGAGAATAGCACCATTCCGTAATGTCGATTACTGAGCCCCACAACTGTAATTCATGACAAAGAAATGCACTCAGATTTTGTCATGCTTCAACCTTATTTAGGTGTTTAGGAATTAGTCCGGTGGTTTCGTTGAATTCAATTTTGTCATATCCCAAAGTTTTGGTGAAGCAAAATCCTAAACTTTATGCACTTTTAAGGGACTGCTGCTATTTTAAATCCTTATTGTTCTTCGGGTTTTAGACTAGCATTTGAGGAAAACATTGCTTAAGCACCTCGTTTTTGCGTGGATGAGCAATGTGTAAATATATTTCCCGTAACAGTATTGTACTCATTCTCAAATGCGGTGCGGGAGAATTGTTTTAAACATTTTCATGTACTGTGGTCTTCTAATTCGATTTTGCCCGTAAATAAATCTTAAAGAAGTACGAACGGGTATTCATCCCGTTTTTAAGAAACGATACTTTGCACCATTGCTCTCATCATTACTTCAATTTCACTTCATTTTCTGGGTCATTTTTTGAGCAACCCGGCTTATTCTGACCATGAGTCGTGCAAATCTTATTTGATTTTCTTTGTGATATCTGGACTCACGGGGAAATTTGTTAGTTATCATTTTAATTGCTACCCCCTGTAATGTGAATTCAGTTTTGATTTAGCATCTATTGGCTGCTAAATCAAACCTCTGGCACCAGTGCTTAAAGATTAATGGCAGGAACTTAGTCGTGCATCCAGCCCATAATGCCGGAATTCCGAGAGTGCGGCACGGGCGGACTGCTTGCATATACATATGCAGCGAAGCAGATGTCCGCTTTCCAGTGAACAACAATTGCCCAACCTTGTTTACGTGTTCCTCCCTATCCCACATAATGGTTTGCCTGAGCTTGCGGCGAAGAAATTTAATGCGACTCCTTTAAATGCTGGTATAATCCCCCGAAGCTAAAAATGACATCGAAAAGCGCCTTCTCTGTGTGAGTTGCAAATAGGCCTATAAAGTCACAACTCCGAACAATATTAGATCTCCGAGGTTATCCCATGTGCATAAACACCGTCTTAGATTTTGTTAATCAAATGAATAGGGTATGCCAACAGTAGGAAACCTTACTTATTCACTCCGAACTATTTTAAAGGCAAAACTGTAACTACAGGTGCCCTCGCCTTGTAATTACAGTAGTGATACTTTGATTTCTGGGGGTTTTATCAATTTGGATACTTTGTAACTTAAGGTAATAACATTCACTTCGCCAATTGGGAAATTAGCCACGTTAAGTGACTCGATTTTGAGCCGTTTAGGCACTGCTTTTGCACGCCCCCGTAACCTTTAGTCCCAGCTAGTCGTGATCCAATGTCTCCTCAATACTTATGATATTATAGCAAATGAGCGTCCTCTCGTTTCATATTTGTCACAAAAGACTAGTCACGAAAAGTACTCCTTCTTCGAAAGGTCTATCCTTGAATCGATTCTATTTTGTGAGTCTTAAAAGAAAACTAGTTAAACCAACTACTCCTTGTTAAAGCTCGAAATCTGGGCATATTTTCTTAAAATATCAACCTTAAGTATGGAGGTACTCCTAGATACCAATAGGCGTTTGCCAAAACGAAAAGAGAAAATAGGAAAATAAAGAGTTGGGACTACATTTGGGAACTCCTGCAAAGTCCGGTGCCCCATGTGTGGAGTTCTAATAATATGCCTTCCTACGATTTCGTGGGCTTCGATAGGAAGATTATTTGCTCTCACGCACGCTGACCACAGCTGGACCTCTTTCTTCACGTTCAAATGCATCGAAGATCCTATCATCAGAACTAACAGTTGCGGTAAAAATGGGTGAACCCTTTATAGGGTTCTCAAACCACTTCCAAAGTAGCTGCATAAACTCTAAATACGAGTTAAGTGCGTTCCGTGCGGCAAACTATTAGTTCATTTGTTTTTACAACTGTTTACCTTAAGAACTTTCATTTATGCACATGAGTTTGGATCCTATCGTGCTCCCAACCACAGCAATCGGGAGGCAAAAAACCTCATTACAGATGTCTCATCTATCGATAAGGCTGGATAAGCTTGGAATATATCTTGCGGAAGCGTGCCTGCGAGCTGCCTACAGAAGCAAAAATGTAGCTCCATTGCTACATATCTATAGTGCTTTGGCTAGCCTTGTCTTATAGTGATTATTAGTACATTTAAAATCAATCTGTGTGTGACATTGGTCAATCAAGGAGGCGAACAGGAGAGCAAGTTTCGAGAGGCTCTAGGGTGTTCGAAAGGTAGCTATGAAAAGAAATCCCTAAAGAATTGAAACAGACTTCTCCCCCGGCAACTTCACTGTCGCTGATGAACGTCACCGGATTAGGATTTGTTTAAAAAAGTGAACAGCACTTAAACTTGGTGACAATAAAGACAAGGAATTACGCACATTCGTTAAAGAACACTATGTTGTCGCAAAGTATGCACCGAAATAAGAAAAGGAACATTCAAAATCACCAACCTTTGCCATTTGCATAGCCAGTTATACGAACCCTACATACATTAATTCATTCACACTGCTCTTCAGGTCTTTCTGTGTAGTGTGTTCAATAAAAGTACCGAGTCGAAATCGTCATGTATAATATCTTTAAAGCAAAGCTTTAAGGTCGCCAAAAATTATGAATCGAGAAAGGCTATTTGTTACAATAATTGAATGCATTGGCCTCCCAAAATACTCATTTAAATTATTATTGGAATCATTTTAGCATTCTGGGTACCTCCACTTCCCATTGCCTTTACATTTACATTTCCTGTAAACTTCATTACATTACAGGTCTTTCTTTCGTCGAGGTATGGAGAAACCCTTTTTTTATGAGGCAAACAAGTCTATTTCGTGATCATTAGTACACCCGTAAGGTAAGGCGGAAGAGAAGCCTTCACTGTTGCGTAGTTTTCTTTTTTCCGCATTATCAAGGACTTAAAAATTCTATGCATTTTGTCCCATCGTTTCGCCAATTATCAAACATTCAACACCAATAAGCTTGTAATAAACCATCGTAACAGTTGGCAGCTGCCTCCAAGGGCATGGATCACGTTGACTACCACTGGGTTCAGACGACCATTCATCTGCTCGGATGGGTGATGGATCCATGCGAGCAGACAGATCGCCTTGTCACTCCCTCATCTTCCCCGCTGTTCTGTCTTCTAGTACAAACTCCACTCATGGGAAAGACACGTGACTGTATTGACCTCAATCGTCAGAGTAATCTCTAGCCCCTGTAATGACACGATGGTGGCGGCCTTCACATCAAAGGTCTATGGCAGATACATGATGGATACTGCGCGGACTTCAGTATCATTACCCATAGTGGACTTGGTCACTTCTATTAAATGTCTAATCCCATCATCCAAATAAACGTACTTTGCGTTGATTGAAATTCAACCCAGCTAAGTTTAAGAAAAAGTCTCCCTGCATGCTCTACCTCGACTTATTGAAGCTTAGTTCGGCATGAATGCTCACCTTCCTATGCTGATCTGTACCTGACCTGGAAGGTGTAGGATTCGTGCTAGGACTGATGTGTGCCCGCGAGATGAAATTGACCCATCTGATTCAGTCAACAGATTATGCAAATGTTGGAAATTTAATTCCAGTGTTTTATTAGGTGACTCAGACCTTAACCGCTAATTTTATTGAGTCAAAACAGGAACGAAGCAAAAGTGGGCACGTGGTCTGCTGATCTTAGTCACGTGTCCACTGTGGCAGAATCGTCAATGCCTACTAGAATCCTGTATGATCCTCTGGTGCATCAAGGTGAACCACAAAAGGTGCAGCCGTGAGAACACAAGTTTACATTGCACGCGAGTGGACAAGAGTGTGAGGAGCCTGCGCACGGTCTGCCCAGGCAACTGATGCATGATCAATTAAACCACCTCACTTTAGCAAATGTGATAACGCTCCTATCCCCATCAGTAGTAAGTATACTTCCCCTTTACGATCTTTTTTGATGAGACAAGAAAGTAGCGGACTCAACCTAGTTTCTACTTTCATGACCCAAAAGTTACTCGGTACGGTATCATGCTTCCCCGTCTTTATAAAGTCCCTTTTCAGGATCGAATCTCGCACCCGATCAGAAGCAGTGGCAGTGCCTTCTAGCTCACATGGGGCATTCGTGCTATTTTATAAGATAAAAACCTAAAAAATGATACCAAGTTCTTCATTCCCTTTCAACTCTGTCTCGCCCCGACTTCTTCAATACTTGGCTAATGTAAGTACAGAAATCTTGAGATTTGGCTTGGTTTTTAAGACATTGCAGACAGTCGACATTTCCGACACCTCGTCAGCTGCATGACTCAGACCACAACCTCCATTTTTGGACAAGTGACAATTTTGCGCTCGTCACTCCCATGTCCAAATGTGCAGAGTAATTTTAATCCCCATACCACAAACTCTTCCCGAAAAAAATGTTAAACGGTATAAAATAATATCTTGAAATCTGATAGGTGGGTGAGGTATAGATTGGAAGGTAGACTAGAAGCGCCGTTCGTAGAGCTGCTCAAATGTGTAGCCACAGGTCCTAGCAACGAGGTAGTATACACTGCCGTACAGGGCTCCAAAGCCGAGGCCAACGACCGATCCCACCAACGCCGGCACGGGACCGCGGGGGAGACAAAATACGGCAAGTGTGGCGCCTGAAATCCAGTAAAAAACCCAAGTCATTTCGTTCGAACCTCTTACATAAAAAATGAGATTAGAGTAAACGACAGATTAAAGCGTTTGAATTTCTTAAATGACCTCCAAGCTAGTTGGGCAAAATAAGGCCGAAATAGTTTAGCGGAACACAATGCCAATTTTACAATAGACTACTTCTTTCTCTATAAAATAATTTTACGGCAAATTATGTTTATTGAATGACGTCTCAGCACTTTGATCGGTATGCTAAAAATAGTCGAAGATCAAACATTAAGGAAGAGTAGAATCCGAAAAACTATTGGTGGAAATTTATTACAATCGGAAGAAATGGGTTGGAACGAAGTAGTTTCAGTAAACACTTTCGATGCACTTCGACTGAGGTAGCCGTGATTTGCTTATAAATATTTAGGTACTGATTGGACTGTTGAAGTTGCCAAAAGTAAGCAATTTCACTTAAAAGTTCACACAATCACGAAAAATAGTGTTAAAATCATACTGAAGCATGCGCCATGCTCCCAGAAACTCGTTCTTCCTCGGTAAGCAGACACTAAGAAGGGGAGATACCTGAAAAGTGTGGTGCACAAAGTTAGTCAACATCAACGCGTAGTTCGAAGAGGACTGCACCGACAACCAGATAACTCACAAAAAACCTGCAGTGAGGAAGCAGGACTTGATGCCAACGCCGACGGCTAATTTTGTCGCAGTCCACATCACGTGATCGAAGGCCTGGCGCTAAGGTGAAATGAAGAATATAACAGCGACCTTTCAATGAGGTTGCCATTCTGTACGATAAGAATGTAACGCATAGTTCTAGCATTAGCTAATAGTGTTTTGTGGGTTGATAAAGCTATGGTTTGTTCTGGACTGGAAGAGTTTGGAGAGGGTGAGATAGCTCCTGAAAAATCACATTTAATTAAAGCTGAAATTTCAGCAGATAGTATGCTAATAGATGTTGCCTTTGTTTACCGTAGACTATGATCAAACCGTGAAAAATCCATTCAAGGATCATGTTTTGGTAAAAAATATGTAACGGAACCTTTTGATGACAATAATTCATCGCATTACAAAGTACGACGGTATATTACCAGCAAATGCTTTAAAATATATGGTGAAAGGCGAAATGCTTAAATGCTGTAGTTATCACAGGACGTAAAGATGACGACCTTTGAAAGTCTGTGAAGACCGCAGCAAGGCGCAATGTTTGAAGGCAAAGTGCGAAAACTAGACAAAATGGATAATACAGAACTTCGTGCGTTCCGCCTAACCTTAGAAGCAGCAAACCTACTTTGGCCATTTCTCGTGTTCTCCAGAGGGTAAGTTGGTTACTTTTTGTGAATTCATTGCAAATTCCCGGCACGCATATACAGGAAGCGGTTGTTCCGGCCAAGAAGCCCGCGATGAAGGGCAGTCTCCTGAGACTCCGACTAACGGTGGCCAAATCGCTTTCATCCGAGTCTCTGCGGCGCAGTAAGGTCACTGAGCACGTTCATGACTTTCAAGCATCCATACATGGAGGCATGGGCTTTGCACACCTCCAAATTTATTAGCCGAATGGAACAACGAGATGACCTATCTACCAGGTTAGATGGGTAGCTATCAAGATAATTGTGCAAGATCATTAAGGAGCCAAATAATAGACGCTTAAATTCCCCGTTAGTAGCATAACTCCAGATTTGGCCTGCAACAATTTACGCCGTTAATTAACCCTACTTCTAGCATCAAATATAACGTACAACTGCAAAACATAGGATTTTCACTGGAACTACAGCAGTTATCAGCTTCCATGTAACAAAGCGGCTTTACATTAGACAAAGATAATCGCAGTTCATACTTTCGATTTGGTTCCGAAGATATTTACTTCATTATCAGTTTAGCTAGAAGTGAAAAACAATGCAATACCTTTTAAAACTCAAACTTTTGGGTAAATTATGCCTCAAAACCGTATTGTATTTTCGATTATTACATAAAAATAACAGCTTAGTTGCAATAGCTTTAAAAGGACCGCAGTTTGTCAAGAAACGGAAAAAGCAAAAGTGCAAATCCTCCAAGTCGGTCAGATATACAAATCAAACTTTAGACCTCGAAATGCACATACACACACACACACATTTCAAACAACATCAATCACGAAGGATGATTGACCTCGATAGGCACGCGATTTAACTGCGGAGTAGACATCAGGACTGGGAGAGTTTCACTTACTGAATCCAGATAGTGTCGATTATCCGAAACATCGGCGTGTCTCGGCGACCATAGCGACTGAAGAGGAGTGTAGCTCCATCCAGCATGGGAGGAGCGAAGGCGGGTCCCCCTTTGCTGCCGCCGGCGCCGCATTTGCCTGTCAGCATTTCGTCGCGGTAGCTCAGGCTCGAGTCAATATCCTCTGGAGTCTGTCCCAGCACCTCCTGGTCCTGGTCGCTCAGAGCATCTGTTGCCATGGCGCTGCGTGGGAAAGAAGCACAGGAGGTAAAAACTTTAATGGGACTTAGAAATGGGAGATACACATCTAACACCAGCTTCCATCGGGAATGAAATGCACCACAACATCCACAGCCAAATCAGCGCCATGAGTTGGGAACTACTGCAACAGGTAAATTAAATGTGTATAGACGCTACTTTGATTTGAATGACATTTTAAAAATTCTCGAGTGGTCATTCACTAGAGCTACTTTATGGCACTTGCATTCTTAGCGCAAATATTCTTATAAAGACAAAGAATATCTAGCTACCTTTTGGGTGAACGTCAATACACCATTTTTTTATTCTACAGGTTCACTATTCGTACTCATGTACGCCATTTCAGTCTTATTCGATAATTCACTCCCCACCACACTTAGCCGAGAGTCCACAATTCATGATGGCAGCAAAGTACCTCTCTTACAGCAAAGATGACCTGATATTGAGCGATAAATGCCTAAAGTTGACTGCGGGTTTCCAACACGAGAGCATGGGTCATAAACTACATACTAAGCCCAAGGTTAAATTTGCTACATCATTGAGGATAGCGCAAATTCTAGGCCAATTAATCAACGGTTGAAATTACTGAGCTCGAACTTACACACTAATGAGATACTTTTTTGAGGAAATGCGGATTTAACCTCCATGAAACTGCCTATAACTGGAAAGTGCAAGCAGAATGGGCCTTCTAGGAATAATAGACGACCGAGAGTGATTAAATTTCACATTTCCAATTGAAAATTATCACAAAGCACAGTTAGTACCAACAGAATCATTCACGTTACTTCACCAGCACGAAAGGTAGGTATCCCTATTATTTACTTGAATCAATGTATTTCCCTCCAAAGGAAATATGTATTAAAGTCTACAAACAGAACCGAAATAGTACGTCGATGTTCTGACACCGACCTGTTACTGTTTATGGGAACCCAAAAAGAGGAATTTAAAGCATGATGAAACGGTGTAACAACCCCTCTGAAGGTCAATGTCAGCAGTCTTCTCCGATCAAAGCATTGCAAAATTCGGCAAATTTTCACCTAAGGGCAATTGATTAATGCTTGCACTACATACTTCTATCTGCTGTAAACAAAGTACTGACAAAAGGCGATTAGCATTTTTCGAGGTCTGTTGGGTACTCGTGTCTATAAGCGGAATCGGATGTAAGTCGGATCGCACTATCCTGCAGAAAGATCAGTCTTATTGTAAAATTCCGAGTCTGAATATCGGAAAGTGACATAGCAGCCCATACACGAGTTTAATATGAAAATTTAAAGGATTCAGAGAATTCCTTCTCCAAAATTTAGAAGAGCAAGTTTCGTCGTGAAGTAGATCTAAAGCGCCAATTAAATTATTCAAGTGGAATTAAAGACCCAAGGGTGTTACAAATACAGGCTATCAAAATAAAGGAGGAATTCCGATCACAATCACCAGTCATCAATTGCCTCGATGAGACTGGTACCACTAAAACAAAACAGATGGGCAAGACTATGCGACTACCATAGGCACGATCACGGAGAGGTCTATGGAAGCATGTACAGCATAGGTATAATACACAAAGCATTCCAAAATGAGGCATATCAATCCAAAATAAGTTTTATTATTCCAACTACATACTCAAGAAAATGTCAAAAAGCGAATAACTATAGCGCGAGTGATTGTTCAGAGGAGGATTTTTGTGGAACAAAACCAAAAACGGCAAAACATTAGCCTTTGATCACTCCGATTGGACGCAACTTGAGCGTTTTAGAACTGATTCCTGCCTCTTGACCTAAAAGCATTGGAAACACAATGAAAAAGTTATCAATTTACGAAAAGCGTTAGGCTTTGATGTAACAACGGAGTAAGAAAATGTCATGTGCAAAAGGCAGTTTAACACGAGTGGCGTGGAAGCTCGCCTACAATCTAACCTATTTACACCACTGCACTAACAGATTTGGTGTATTTTGGTTCAAGCAAATATACAACCAATCATTTTGCATAGTCTGATTTAGAAGATCGGTAAAGACCCGTAGACATTAAAAGGTATTGCTGAAAAAGCGTATATTTTAAGGTAAACACGTTCTGTTGTGGTATTTGACAACACCAGTGCAAAAAGAACCAATAGGTGTGGATAAACACCCAAAATGACTACGAATGTACAAATATGCTCCCTTTGGTCAAGAAAGAAATCGAGATTAATGCAAATCGCAAAAATTAAACGTGCAAAGAAGAGATGGCATTCGAAACTGCAAAAAGGGCAATGCGTACAAGTGTTAACAACGTCAGTGACGTTTTTGTACGATTCGGGCGCTTCTTCCATGACCAGCTTTGGCGAGGCAACGCGTATAGAGATGCCCTTCTGTGCAAGGTTTTCCAGCACGTCGGAGTACTCGAGAGTCCTTCTTGACTTTGCTCTAGATAGCGCACGACCCTTCAAGAAGGCATTTACTTGATAAATAAATAGTAAATAAGTTAATACAATGGTCTGAGGTAAGGTGTATAGATGACGAGGACAGTGGAGTTCTTCGTTATTCTCTCAATTTTTACAAAGTGCTGGGTAAGATACGGCATCACTTTAAATTCACTCAAAGGGAAATTTATTTATTTCATATAAGCAGTATCTAAAAAGATTCCTTTTCGCTCTGAATGAAAAATGAGTGGTCCGAGGCAGGGATGAAAGAAATCGAGTTACTCGTCCTTGTCTGGCAAGAAATGGCTTTCGCAATAAAAGCCTCAACAAAGTTACTAAAACTGAGACAGTGGTTTCCAGAGAATAAAAAGGTATTCGTCAGATTGATGCACTTTTAGGGAAAGCCAAGCAGACAAGTCTCAGAGGCCTATACGAGCTTTAAGTATTTAATTTAAAGAACCAATCCGACATTGTTCGGCGTATGAAGAGTATTGACTACAAAGTGTAGAAATTTCGAAAATTATCTTTCGCATCCGTTAAATCCGACTGTAATACTAATCATTGTGACGTACGCTACACTTTAGATGAAAAGACAAATTTGACTAAATACGCACTCTTGTCAATTTAGGACAAAAGCAGCTCTCATCTGTGATTGACAAGTGCTGCTAAAATGCTTGAACATCAGCGTCACCCTTATGTTTGCCCATGATAGTGAATAAAAGGCGAAATAAAGAGCTCAGCAGAATCCTGATAACCATTATCCCATAAAAATTAGTTGAAACTTACAGCCCCATGACAAGTCGACCCAAAGGTTTCAGTCATGGCCTTGTCTGTTCCCGTGAGCACATAACTGCAAGTTCCCATAGTGCCGCCGATCAGAACTGGCTGTCCAGTGAGCTATAGGAAAAGGAACAGTAAATCAACTACTCCAACCGGTCAAGCCATACCAAAAGGCCAGCATTAGATTGAAAAAAGAGCAATGCAGATTTGTAACTATGAGGTGCTGCGAATCGGCAGAGTAACTCTTATTATGATCTCAAAAAAGCATATGGTCGGCATAAGCGGTTTTCCCACTGTAGACTTAGGCAAATAATCCAACTCAAAGACTGAAAGTTCTCACCGACATCGTTGCATAAATATTCGTTAGAACACGAATAAGCAACGACAGCGAAAACGCAGATAAATTAACAAAATTCCGTCAGCGTTCCATAAGCATCGAACTTGATACAAGGAAAACGAAAATCGTAAACCAATGTAAACCGTCCGACTGTGAATGATGGCGATAGAATCAAGTGAGCGAGACACCTCGAAATGAGAAGTAAGTAAAATATAACCAACTCTACCGCCAAAGATTACTCCCCTGATAGCACATGACAAACCAGTAGTGAGACTCGTTTTATTGTGCACCTGCCTGAAGAAAATGAAATAATAGTTTGAATACTGAGTCGATGAATTTAGAGATGACAACTCTCTAGACCCACCTTATGGAAGATCCCTTGCGATTTTATGCAGTTATGTCAGTTATGAGAAAAGGCAGATTAAAATTTCCTTTGTGCGCCGCTTTACTAATAATTTAACTTTTTAATACGTTAATCCTATCGAAAACTTCGTCCTATACGCTATGGCACAATCTGTGAAGAAAGGTACGAAACATTACAAAATGTCTCTATGCTAGCAGATCCACCGAAACCTTAGTGATCTGCATTAAAGTTTTAAAGTTGCAACTTTTCGTCAAGACGAGACTTGCTTAATACTTTCGCTACCAGCGGCACATACGTGGTGCCCCAACTTCCTTACTTGAGCTCACATGTCACACGCGATACGTTTAATTAAAAGAGCTGAACTAGATAGAAAATGAGAAACAAATTAAAACTATTTTCGTCACTTTAGGACAATAAAGTGCCGAATAATGGTGGCTAATTCTCCTCTGTGTTAAGGACCTTTCCCAGAAATCACAGACACATCGGCAGACGGAATTACGGTACGTAACAGCGTGACATGAGCTGAGAAAGGATACAATGTGAGGAAACAAAAGTGGCACACCCTTTACCTGATAATCAACGGGGATTAGGGGATGGTGGGGAGGGAATGCACGCGTTGAGCCTTTGCGGTGAACCAGAAGTTGCGTCGGTTTTCCATTGACCCAGTGCTCCTCCACTTTGGCTATGTTGTGAGACACATCGTATATCACATGCATATCCAAATCATCCGGAGTGGAGTTGAACATCTTTGCAAAAGCCTGAAGTGATGAAGGAAGGCAGAAATATACCGCTGTCTCCAGTTATGCATGCGCTCAATGTTCAGATTTCAACAACATGATCACAGCTACCACAGTAATATCAAACTGTTTGACAACGACCCTCTGGGATTCGTTGACCACCACACAACTTGAAGCAGACTAGAGAAAGTGGTTGTGAGATGAGATGAGGCTCCACGCCTTAAATTTTTGTGAGAACTCAAAAACGGTTACTCATAAAGCTATAAGTAGCAGCTATTTTGCTGACCTGACGGCTGAGGAAGGTCATAGAGGAGCGGTTGACCCAAGCGTAGTTGGCAGCAGCGGCCATGGCAGCGAGGTATGCCTGACCCTCGGGTGAGTTGATGCGCGCGCACGCCAACTGCCGGTCATTGACATCAATCTTATCACGCTTCATAGCCCGTTCCATCTCCAGCAGCGCATCTGTTGCCACCTGGAGAGTAGGTAAAAAAGGAATAAAGCTGTAATTTTTCAATGCCTGAATCTGTCCTCAAATTAAAACGCTTCTGCGAATTCAGCAAGCTAACAAATTAAAAAGGAGAAGGAAAAAATTCAATCTAAAAATGAAATAGAAGTAGAAGCATGAATGCTACATCGACCTTTACAAATTGGCATCGTTAGACCTAATTAAGCATTCCGTGATTGCACAAAAAACTAACCCGACCTCGGGAGATGCTTAGGAGCTAAAAGTCTACTTAATATTCTCTGGATTACGGTCCAATTCTTTATTTCATTAGGCAAATTATAATTTCAGATAGAATTCAGTACTCTAAATAAGTGAAATTAGTATTCTAGACCAAAGTCACCAACAACTTATAAGCGAGTAGTGGATTCGTGAAAACGTCAGAAGTGCCACCTGATGTCCCATGCCCCGGCTGCCGCAGTGGATCATGAGGACGACCTGGTTGAGCTGATCGATGCCCATTTTGGAGGCGGCGTGGCGGTCAAATATTTCTTCCACCACCTGAATTTCAGCATAGTGATTGCCAGCCCCCAATGTGCCCAGTTGGGGGAGACCGCGTTTTTTGGCGCGTGCAGAAACCTTGCTGGGATCCGCCTGCAGCATTCGACCGTACTCTTCGCAGTGCTCCTTGTCATCTGCCCAAACGTAGCCTAACAAAGTGAAATACCACAGGAAAAAATACTATCAATATTATGAGAAGCACGTGAATTTGAGCTATGTAGAAGCAGAGCAATCCATAAGACTATTAGTGAATTTAAGTTATGAATAGTGATTTATAGGAATGAGTTTAAATTAAGCGTAGGTTCTAGCAATAATTTTCTAAAATCGAAGAGTACTTCGCGTTTTTACATCACCATCGACTAAATAATCGCAAATTTCCGGCAAAGAAAGAGGGAAAAGAACCTTGTCGAAGTGACCAGTCCATCCCCATCTCAAGAGCTTCGTCAAGGTTAGTAGCATTCATGGGAATGATGCCCTTTGAACCAACACCAACAGGAATGTGGTCAAAGAGGGCCTGTGTCAGTTGCTCTTTCACGGGTAGAACGTCCTTCAGAGTGAGGTTGGTTCGAATGAGTCTCACACCGCAGTTGATGTCAAAGCCAACTCCACCGGGGGACACAACAGCTTCTGGGTCGGTCATATCGAATGCTGCCATGTTACCTATAGCAAATGTAAGAAGACAGGAAGAAAATAGACAATGCAGTTTGTCGTATCATCAAATAAGGTATCCATGCCCTTAATCTTGCAAAGAGGATTGAAAAAATACAGAATATGCGATAGGCGTCAAATAAGTGCAGTACTATCCACGATACACACCTCACCGTAGAGGTTAAAAAAGGAGTCAGGCTCCACAATATGACGTACCTATGGCAAAACCGTAACCCGAATGAACGTCAGGAAGTCCAACGGAGCGCTACAAAATGAACTAAACAATGATAATGTAGCGTATTATTGGAATGAATACAAGAATTTAATATGACGCACGTGGACTATCCCTGGTAATGCAGCGACGTTTGCGATTTGCTTCATTCCGGGAAGGAAGCCGCCATAATCACCACTTTGTGTAAACTGGCGTAATTCATCAAACATAAGATGCCCCAGAAAATCGTTTACATAAAACACACCTTCCACCTAGAATGAGTGCCAGTATGTGGATTAATTTGGGGAATAGTTATTGAAAAAAAGACGCTCATGGGATGCTAAGCCGCGTCCGTGCGGCGGAAAAACTACAGTAATGAGGTATACGGTGGCAAGCACATCAATAATGGAGTTAAGTTTTAGCATACAAAGTAAGAATTCAGTTATCAACAGGCCATGTCAAATAAAAACAGAAGGTAACTAATAAACGTGTTAAGAGAACGACATTACACTTGATTGAGAGTAAATTTTTAAAGGATGATTAAGAAACCAGACGACCCGTTTTAAAAATTCCATAGGAAAGAGTGAGAACAACGATACCAGTCGACACAAGCTCATGTGCTTAAGAGAAGAAGTAAAATATACACTTGATGATGTAGTTGCGACGTCATTCATGCGGGTTGATAAAATTATCGATGTAGTGAGGAAAGCATTTGTGCGGAAAACGAGAATAAAGGCAAAACTTGAGTTCACGGTCAGATACCGATCACCAAGAATACCATTGGAGCATGCCCGGTATAATCACTTAATTTAATAAATATTTAGTTGGTTCATAAAATCTAACTTGCTAATATATGCCATGTTCCATGACAATCCGTTACCTAAGGCCAATAATATGAACATAAGGGTAGTTAAGTTCCTAAACAAATGGAATGGTGCAATACGAATAGAAAAGACCAAGTATTTGAATTAAAAGAAAGTTGGAGTATGTACAAACCTTCATGTTTGGAACAAAGCCTTTTTTAATCCTCCAGGAACACGGTGATAATTTCTCCAAGAATTCCAACTCCTCTTCATATGATCTCGGCATGTTAGAAGGCTAAAAAGACAAATTACGCCGTGAACAAACAGGCCAAGTACCACGAATAGGGACGTTCAACTCAAGGCTTGGTGCATTTTTGTTCAAAAGGCTGAAATTCATTTGGTAGCTTGTTATGAATGTATTATTTTAGTTTTTAAAATTACTTCTGATGTAATTTTATTAGCTTTGAATGGTAAATTTTATTGTTGTTATTTCTAATTATTGTAATTAATTTAGGTTTTGCAGTTAATTCCTTAAGCAACATTGATACCATTAGGACACACTTGTTTGTTTCAGTGTAGCCTTTGAGAATAAGATGGCCAGCAATCACGAATCTTACGACAAAGCGTGTTCCACATGGCAGCGACACCGGTACCACTTTACTAACACTACCAAATGAAGGGTGCCCTCGTTGAACCTGTCCACGCGTTTTAATGATATGAGGGGTTTGGGCGGAACAGAGGAAATCCAAGCCCATCGCAACCAAGTAGCGTAAGCCGGTTCTTGAGCTAATGCTTCTTTATTGCAAAGAATGTGATGTCGAAAAATTTGACTTTGTCTGAACTAGTATAATGGAACGTATATTAACAGCTCACATTGGGGCTGGAGGTACACTAAACCAAACATGCACTTGACATGGGCCAGTGGATAACGAAGCCATTTTCTATTAAGTTTTAAGAAATCCTTTCAGCCTTGTGTCGGTTCAGCCGTTAGTACCATTCATGCAGAACGCGGGATTAGGGTAATTCCCGAATGGATGCATCGTCCCAACTTGCGTTGGAAGTCTTCAGACGCATCTGCGACAAAAATTCTTCCGCTGTGACATCAAAGTTTTGTATTCAGAACAGCAGTATCGTGCCCTGATTCTGCTCAAAAGTTGTAATAAACCGCAGTAGCATGGAAGAACGTATATCACCGCTGAACAGAAATGCTGACGATGTTAGCATGGCCCGAATACCATGCCGCAGGGGGACACAACCTGCGTAGACTGATGAGCTTGGATAGCTAAGCGCACAGTTATACTGATACTAAATCACTATGCCTTTGTCCAGGAGTAAAATCGGGGAATCCTGATTATGACTCCCATCACAATCCAGAGAAGTACGTAACGTGAATAGGAAAGCCTGGCTACGTGATCAGAACCAACCAACATTTGGCAATACTTTATGCTCATAACCTGAAAAGCAGTAGCTCAATAGCATTCCCTTGACTGGTAGATTGACATGAGTTATACTTGAGCCAAAACCCTAATAACGCCATGGTGAGCGCAACAACGACATGCACAAGCCACCCGCGCTGTCAAGAGGCAAGTGTGGTGTTTCGTCAACAGCTGCGAAGTTTAGTTTTCGTCACCAGTGTGACTTCTACAAGATTAAAGCATATGCACCAAAAGAAACACCCAATTGCGATATAGAAATAGTGTAAAAGGACCGAGAAACAACAATAGGAGGGCAACAATAATAATAATTTATTCCATGATGAGCCTAGGCAAAATAGGGAGGCAGTAAAACAAAAAATGGAAAGGTGTAGGAAGGGCGGAGGAGTGTCACTTGAACAGCCATAATTTTAAATATCCTCTCTAGCTACGCATCAGCGCTTGAGGGCATACAGCGCCGTGTGCTCTGCAGCCTTCTTGTTGAAAGAGGCACGATCTTTCTGATACTCCTCTGCCAAATCTGCGCGAAGGGGATGCTCTATCTCTGGATTCGCAACCAAGGCTTGCAAGGCCTGAATCACTGCAAGATAAAAGCATACATACACTATTTAATTCCGTGTCAATTAATCATTTTAAGCAACACACCCAAGGAGCCTCATGCCAGTGAGAGAACCATGGAGGGCAGAAGAGATTTCAAATCGGAGAGGGGGGAGTTTACCTATAATTTAATCATTTTCAATTTCTATTTAAGCCGCCTCGGATACTCTTGTCACAACCACCGAGATCCTACGTAAGCGATTTTAATAGAGCATTAGTCGCTTCTCTGTACTTTTTTGTTACTGATTCCTTCTAAACTTTTATATTGCGCTATAATGTGAAAAAGCAACACCTATTTAAAAATCTCACAAATGTTCATTTCAAGACTTTTTACTTTTATTGAATAGCAAAGAAAATATCTGGAAATCGCATTTCTAGCAAAACAGTCTTCAGGATAAATTGATGGTTATTTTAGAGGTACCTTCCAAAACCAACATGCCATAGTATCAATGTAAAGCGAAAACAAAACAAATTTGGGATAGCATAATCTCACCATCAACAATTTTTGTTGCCGGCTTCCAATTCCCAGGATCTATCAGGGGAAAACAGATTTGTCCCTTTTCATCCACATTGGGGTGATATATTGGCGTTTTGAAGACCAATTTCGGTGGCTTGATAGGGTATTCCGCACCAAAATTAATTGAAATTTTGAAGGCACCTTTGTCATATGGGGGACTGTCCTACGACAAAGGTATCCAAAATACTGCATAAGAGGGCAGACAATTATTGCAACGGCACCTTGAAAAACGACATAAATTCTTACAGTTTAGGAAGAGCTATGATAAATCAGAGTCTAAGCAGCTTTAAAACATCTCATATTCCTTTGTGACTTTGGGGAAATGCATTCGAAATCGGAAACGATAGCCAACATTTATAGTGACCTCGATGGATTTTTAGACTAAATTCTTATGCACTTCTGAAACAAACTCCAATAAATTTAAGATTACTGGAGCACATGAATATCAAAGTAGAAAAAAAAATAAGGCAACTTATTTTGGCACTAAAGAAAATCTATTGGACAGGAACCTAATCACATATTTATACAGCCAAGTGAATTTTATTTACGTTGAAGCATTCCATCATAAGTATGAAAAAGCAGTCCAAGGTGAAAGAGCAAAAGATAAATTGACACGAAAGCAAAAAAACCAAAACTTGTCATTGAGATGGAAAACAGAGATGCTTGCAGGGTAAAGGAGACCAGTCCAAGACGTGATGTTATCTTCAGGGTCGTCCATCTTAAACATATCCTTCACAGGCGGCTCCTTCATCCCAGCGAGCTCCTTCAATGAATCGTAAATAAAGCGCGATTTTCGCGAATGCGAAATCAAGCCACCAGATGAACTACTTGGTTTTTCAGTTGTTTTCATACGAATAAAACAGTGAAAAACAACACATTGTTGGAATGAATGCAGTCGAATTTAAGGAGGCACCTTGTATTGTTAACTTGCAAAGTCTTCTCCAACTGACTTCTACTTATTCACTCTTACAAATAGTAAGGGATGAAATGTCGTCCAGGTGATCGTAATCAAATTTAAGCACAAAGCAGAATTTGACATTTTTTATGATTTTCATTGGCAGTTGGGGGTACTAATACTATTTCAGTGATAATAAACGTACCTTTTGTAAACGTCTTGTTGCTGCACACATTGCCTTTTTCAGTCAATAACTAGGCAGAAAACATTTCCGTAAGAGAAAATGGATTTAACTCCATATGGTAGCGTTAAGTATTTAGGTGGGCTCAAGAGAATGAAACCACAAAACACAGTGCCAGAATCCCAAGAACGACGTTAACTATTAACAACTACGAAAGCAAAACACTAACTTCAGAGGTGGGGATAGGCTAATTAGGCGACATACATTTATAATGAGTTGTGCGGAATGGGAACTGCTTCAAAAATCTCCCCGACAAAGAAAGCAGGCAAAACGAATATTTAAAGGCTTAATAGGGTTTTTATTCCAAGTCGAATTTACGAAAAACAATTGAAAGCCCCTATGAATATTTATGCGTAGCAAACACATCTGTGACTGACCCCAATTACAATAGCAAGTTGTAGAATTTTGCACTAGATTAACATAAACCGGTGGCTAAAAGGTAGACCTAAAGAAAAGATAACTCAAACAAATGGCTTCAACCCATCTACTAACAAGGATCAAGCGAAGAATGATCAAATTAAGGGAGTCGCCAGCACTAGAAATATAACCAAAAGTTGAATTGAATAAATAAGACGATGGTAATCTGCAAGACTAACAAGTAAGTGTGACACTGTTCAGGAACGTTAAATCGAACAACTCAATCAGGCTGTCCAGTTATGTGAGAGGACAGTAATCCCACGATGAATCTGGTAACAAATGGCAGGATTGTATGCGGGACCACACAAATATAAAAAAAATTACAACTGAATGTCTAAACAACTTATTGTAGGAAAAAACCATACAAGGCTACAACAAATGGGAAGTCAATTATACACACCAACCACCAGCAAGCAGCGACTAACAAAGAAGCTCTTCACCAACTCTAAGAATCTGGGTTATTGATGTATATTAACATTTTTAATTGCTCTTAATAGAACAAATACTGATCAAAGGGGCTTTGTTTTTAACCTAAATTAGAAACCACTTAATGTCAAGAATAGGCCCAGCAGTATCCTGATTGTGTGATGATTATTAAGAATCATGAAATGGTTAATACTGGACATATCCTTTCAATTAAAACATATTGGTAAAACCGTTTGTGGGTCAATATACCAAATTAATTAGTCATTAGAACTGACATCTCACTTTTTGAACAGAGGTATATGCCTTCAATGGATTACATACTTATAATAATTTTTTAGCAACGCGGTTAGAAAATCCATATTGTTTTACTGGTTACAATTGACGTCGGTGCTGTAGTGTGGCTTCCCGAGACTCCCTGAAGACGAAAGAAGACATAATACTCTGGCAGAATATATATTCAGCGCAGAGGTGTCTGAGCTATCAGCATTGCCCGAAAGGCCAGCCCACCCAGCGAGGTACAAGAGGGTTAATTCAAAGTACAAAGTGGCGCCTCACCAATACCGAGAAATAAACCTCTATCGTATTACAGTAGTGCCCCGAGTCTTTCCTGAGGACGAAAGAAGACATAATACTAGGACACAACGCACACATTCAACATGCAGAAGATATTTGGACCACTGGTATGGCCCGAAGGCAAGCACATCCGACGCTGCAGAATAGCCAAGTTGAAAGTGGCTCTTTACCAAAACTGAGAGCTAAACAATTATTGTATTACATAGCCCCTCTCCTCTTTAGAGCCCCGTCCCCGGCGCTCCCCTTGATTAATCCCCTTGTCAGCCATCACAACGTTGTCGGCACTGTAAAGAAACACCCTTGAGCCAGCTACGCCAGTCATCAAATTGCTTGCAGCTGAGAAGATATTTGATTTCAGTCACTAAAAAGCCTTATTGGCAATTCAACTAAGTCCGGAGTTTCGTCCGATTTAGGAATTGGATTTAGGGAACGGGAATTGTGCTGGCCATCATGTTCGTCTACAGATGGACGTAGGAACATGTTTATGCAAGCAACGACAAGATTTAACACGAGTCCGGAGGAGAAAGAATTTCGCATCTGTTCCCATTTGCCACGCTGTATTTACTTCAGACCTGCCTAATCATATCTATCCGGACTCTATCCAGCTAGTAGGGGAATAGAGTGGTATCGCTAGTTCACTTTATTAACAGTTTTGTGCAGGTACGGTAAGGAAACTCCGTAACCAAACTTCCAGGTAGTTCACGGCTAACATCACTTCGGCTGTTAGTAGCTTTCCTGCAGAACATATGACTGGGGTAGTTGCCGAAGGAAAACTTCAATTTGAGCCCTTCTGTTCAGGTTCACCGACGATTCCATCACCCGTAGCACACGTACTTCTTCCATTCCGCTAAGGTTTATCACCCAGCAGTGGAAATCAAAATCGATGTCCTTGGAATCGTGCCCGCAATCTGCTGCCACCAATGTAGCGCCCCAAGTGTTCTCTGAAGACGAAAGAAGACATAATAGTAGGTTAGAATTTGTATATTCGACATGCAGAAGGTACTAGGTCTAATAGCATGGTTTGAAGGCCGGTCCACCCGGCGGGATACATTATCAAGACGAAGTGGCCCTTTACTAATCCAAGTATTAAACAAACAACCAACGTATTACAGTTGCGTTACTAATCGTCTTGAATATTAGTAACATATACTAGGATGCATTCGGCATCATTATTCATTTGGTCAGTTGCGCACGACTCCATAAAAGGATACTTATTTAGATATTTCAGCATAAGTTTCTCGTTATAGAAAGCAAGTCTTCAAAGTCACCAAATCTGCATTGCAAAGGCCCAATGTAATAAGGTCAGGGTTTTTCTCTTTTAATTCTACCTTCATGCTCTTAGGACGAGCAGGAGAATTGAACAAGGACATGCTTTATTAGGTAGCGATTCATAAAGGGATATAGATACTACGGCCTAGGCATGTTTAGGGAGTATTCTTCCTTTGAGAGCTGATGGCGGTTGATCTGCAACAAGGTTCGAATTTTCTGACAGCCTCTAATTTAAAGGGTACAAATAGCACCACGAGACTTCCCTGTAGATAAATGAAGACATGATATTCAGGTAGAATATGTGTACTTGACTTATAATAGAACTTAGGATTGCTAACATGGCTCGCAGGCCATCCCGCTCGACAAAGGTACAATGCCTAAGCCACAAAGTGACCCTGTTCCAAAACCAAGCATAAAACAAACGGTCAACGTATTACATAACCCCTCTTTGTTGCCATCGTTCCATTTAGTCAACCCTCCGCGTCAGTCATGACAACGGAATCGATGCTGTAAAAAGCACCTAGGAGTCAACTGTGCCAGTCATTGAATTTTGCGCGTAACTGATGGGATACTCAACCACAATATCACTGACTCCTCATGGCAATTCTACTGAATCTGCGGTTTCCTCCTGCATAGGAACTTGATTCGAGGATGGAAGAATGTGCTAGCCATTGTTCATGTCCATGGCTAGTAGTAGGAACACCGACTTAGAAGCAAGGTCATATAACAGTGGATGGGTTTTTAAATAGTTCTGCTGAGATAGGGTTCGGCGCCTATTACTCCTCGCTAACTTATTCCCATTTCAGAGCTGCTCAACTAGTAGAGAAGTGGAGGTGGTATCACGTATTTACTTTACTAATATCTTCATACAGGTACGGCAGACAGCTCAGTAATGAAGCCATTCCAGATGATTCACAACTAATGTGGCTCTATTTGTAAATAGCTTTCCTGCAGATCACGAGACTGAAATAGTTGCCGATAATGGAAGTCATTTTCACTCCTTCTCTTATGGTCGTTACCGATTCTCCCATCCGTAGAATAGGCATTTCTAGCGCCCTGTAAAGGTCTATCACCCAGCTGTAGAAATCATGATAGATGTTCCATAGGATCGGGTATGCTTTCCAATGCTACCATTGTAGAGCCCTGAGACTTCCCCGAAGACGAAAGGAGACGTAATACTCGGGTAGAATATATGCATTCTACACCCAGAAGGACCTGGGGCTACTGACGGCCCAGTGGTCAGCCCATCCGACAAAGGTGCAATGGCTGAGACACAAATTGGTTCCTTCACCAAAATCGGAGGTTGAAAAAGCAGCTAACTTATTACAGCTTATATAAACAAACAATAATTGCACTAGCATTACCACAAGCACCTTTCTGTTGACTTGGTAATCGGCTTGGTTCCAAACCTTCACGGTTTTGGATTTCTTGAAGGTTATGATTTTGCTTTACAGATCAAGGCGCTACAGTTTCACAATTTCGAATAACTGTAATAAGTTAATAGTTTGCTTAACTCTTGGTTTTTTTCGGACCACTTAGAAGGTTACCCATTTTGCCTCAGCCGGGTGACCCGCCCTCTGGGCCAAGTAAGTAGCCCCAAGCCCTACTGTACGTCGACAATACATAATCTGCCAGAGTATTGTATTCTTAGCTTTAAGGAAATTTCGGAGTGCTACATAACATCTGTAGAATAGTAGAAAATGTTACATAATGGTCAACTCGAGTGCGTTTCGCTTTCAATTAATTTAAAGGCCTATATTTTCTTCTACAAAACGTTTACCATCTAACCAGTGGGCTCCAATGCTAAAAAGAAGAGTTTGCTAGGTATTGCAGCAATAATCATTTCTTCAGTCGACTCTTTTGTCAACATTAAGGCGTTGTTATTGTAAGTGGGCATGCCAGATCATTTTCATTATCTCTGACTGTGGATTTGTGCAGGTGATAGGGTAGAAGTGAATTCCTCGTTTGCAAAAAATGAATAAAAACCTAGCATAAATCTACGTCCCTACGGCAGCTATATTCGGTGCATCCTCACCTGTGTAACTTCATTGTTAAAGGTATAATAAGTGCGTAAATAAGAGCAGTTGGGGCTCCACTTAAAGCGATACCCGTCAATAAAGAGGCTTCTTTTAAAATCCTTTAATAATCAATTCGGTGAACAACTTGAACCTACTTAGATTCTAAAGAACAATTCTTACCTAGTTCTGAATTCGCTTAAATGTTGATAAATAGTTGTCTCTGTTAACTCCGGCTTAAGCTGTACTACCGAAGCATAATGCGCAAAAAACGTTGAAAAACGATATTTGTGG